TAATTCCTGCTATCCACACCTTGGGTCTTAGAGAACCTAGGCAGACACTACTCTTCAATGACAGGGCCACCTCTCACTCAGACTTTGATCACCTGCTCCTTCCGCCCAGTCCAGGAGGCCCTTCCTTAACAAATGTTAACAGCTAAACTGAGGTGCACCTTAACAAGGTCAGCATCGATGCCATTCAGGGCCATAAGTCATGCTTTGCCATCCTCATTGTACTCATTTTGCAGATGAGGTCACTGATCTAACATTATGGATGTTAGGCCTATCGCCCAAGATCACAGTGCTGGGCAGCAGCACAGGGTGGGCTGGAACACAGCCAAAGACTCCTTAGGGTGGGGTCTGGGCCTTCTCTGGCTCTGGACCCCTGAAGCTAGCACCTAGCAATGCGCAAGGCTGTACAGCAAGCATGCAGCCAAGGAATGAATGGATCGGATGCTGGGCCTCTTCGGGGGGACCTCTTGAGAGGTGCTCTGAGAGGCTACACCAAAGGAGAGCCTCTACCTGGACTGGCCTCCAACCCTCGTGCTCATCCAGGGAGCCGGTGGTTCACCAGACACTCCTGCGAAAGCCAACAGACCCAGATCTCTCTATGCCGAGAGGAAAAGAAACAGCAAAGCAAAAAAAAAAAAAAAAATTCCAGTACGTGGATGGACTCTGGCCTTTGGAACCTCCACCCACCTGCCCCATGCTAGCGGCTCACCTGAGATGCCCTTCTCTTCCCTCTCCGCCCTCTGAGACTCTGTTTAGTCCTCAGGCCCAACACAAGCACACTCCTCTGAGCTGCTGGCCTGCAGCCCCCAGCGTCCCCAGCCCCTGGATCACCACCAGGCATTTTGAAGACCCTCAGCACCTATCTGCTCCAGGCATACATGGGAGCGGTGATGATGTCATCTTTCACCGTGTGTTTTTATATTTCAGATGAACCTGAATCTTTGATAGTAGTTTTTGTTTGTTTGAATATTTTATAGTAATTTTTTTGGGTTTGTTTGTTGTTTGTTTGTTTTTCTGTGCTGGGATTAAACCTGGGGCTTCACGCAGGCTAGGCAAGTGTTCAACCACTGAGCTACACTCCCAGCCCACAGATGTTACTTTTATAATAAGAAAAAAGGAAGGATGCCAAAACAAAATAATAAAAGGAGTCTATTTAATCCAGCAGATGAAAATAATGCAAAACCTTCCCCAAGAATCTTTTCTATAGATCGCCAGTCGTTGACATGACTTCAGTCATCAGGCTGTTTATTACGTCTGAAACATGGACCAGCTTAATAATCTACTTGCTAGTCAGCACACGTCCTTGGACTTTTAAATACCAGGCATCTCCCCCTGAGCTAAGGGAAAGATTGACACCTGGGTTTTCCAATCTATTTCAATCTCCTTCTCACAGTGCATTTATTTCTACCTCAATACTGATAAGGATGTTATTTCCCCCTGTGGTATCCTGTCTCCACTGGGCCACCCTCTCCCCTACTTCTCCTGCCCCAGGATCTTGATGATGCTTTAGGGTGCATTCAGTCGATGAAGAAATGACCACAACCATAGATAACTGTGTCATTTAAAAACCCTGAGTTGTTGTTGCTGTTGTTGTTTTCAAAAAGACACCTTGTCTTTTCGTCTCCCTCAATTAATCACACTTGGTTGAAAGCTTTCTTTTTATATATTTCAACACTCTGAATTGTCACTATACATTTTCCAACTCTGTTTAAAAAAAAAAAAAACTCACCGCTAATCAGAAAGTGCTGTCAAAGGTGTTTGAGAGCTATTTCTCAGAATCTGTCTCAAATAAGAAAATATTAGATGGCTTCCCAGGGTTCAAAAACCTTTCCCCACATAGTCCCACGAGGAAGGCAGTGTATAGACAATCAATACCCAGAATTTGCAAATAAATGTCGGCAATGAAAAGCTGTGCCTGTTAACCTCAGAATAATCTCTGCAGAATGCTGTTGGGTGCTGTCCAATCGTGTCCTGCCTGGCATTCTGAAGGCACTAGATACCTGTTCACCGAATGACTAAACGGAAGTGGTGATGATGGTTCTCTTTCCCCCTTTCACTTGTATATTTCAGATGAACTTGAATCTTTTATCGTGACCTCCATTCATTGTTCACTGAGCACTCTGGGTGCCATGCACAGTGCTAAATGTGCTACGTGCATTGTCTCATTCAATCTTCCAAGTGCCCGTTACTATTATTATCCCATCTTACAGATGAAACAACTGGTGGAGAACTTCACAGTCTTCCCACAGTGATAAAGCTACCAAGGGACAGAGCTGGTTTGAACTCAGTTCGCCTCACTTCAAAGCTCCCATTCTCTGTTACTATCCTATAGAACATCGAGTATCTCTTATTTTAAAAACTAGAGTTGGCATGAAAGGCCAGCTAGTTAATACAACGTTCACTAAAAACAACCAGTTCTGCAATCTTTCTTCTCTTTTCAATCCTTTTTAATTTATGTGTATTCAATGTTCAGCATAAAATATTTAAACGTGTGGAAGTCAGACAATGCATGACTTCTTTTTAGGAGGGCTTTTCTGTTCTCTGGCATCACATTGGCTGAGCAATTGCTATGCCACAGAATCAATAGTACTAATTTTCACACATCATTAATAAATAAATGGAGGCTCCCAGATGTGATGGAAGGGATTCATCATCCCCTGGGAATTGAGTCTTCCAAAGATGCCACTTGAATCGAATTATGTCTGGTTGCAGACAAGAGTCCAGAGACCAACACTTTAACAGATTCAAGATTCCAAAGTGGGACCCTGGATTAGTAAGATTTCAAACTTGAATAGAGGAAAGGAAGGGAAAAACATGCAAAAGTAGACCAGAAACTGGGGGTCTCATCTTGGGCCAAGAAACAAGTCTCAGATTTCCTTGATGATTTGAAAGCCTTTGGCCAGACTTTTAATAGTTTGCAGCTTAGGACTGAGAAGCACAAAAATTTCAGGGGCTAAAATGACATAAATTGGTGCTTGTGGCAATTTTCCTGTGTGCTTGAAATGTTCCCAAATAAAATGGTCAGAAAATAAAAGGCAGTAAGAGAGAGAGATTAGGAAAATGACCCACACTTTTGTTGTAGCCCAGGGTCTTGCTTTATGTAATTCCTTGGTAAGAATAAAGGCAAGTTCTTTGAACAGATTTAGTAGTAAAGGAAGCAACCAGTATGCAGCGAACACTTCCCTTGAGCTGTACGAACGCGATCTCATTTAACATTCACATGAAGCTATAAGGTAGATCTAAGTATGATCTCCATTTTCAGAAAACAGAGGCAAGGTGAGGCTTAAAATTGTGCCTAAAGTCACACTGTCAGCAAGGGGCAGCACAAGGATTCAGACCAGGGCTTCTACTCTGCATGGACCCAGCATTCTTTCCAGGCCCCTGTGAGCTGCAGAGACCTACAGGGCTGCTACACATAAAATCACTGACCCTATCCTGGGACTCTCTCGACAGACTTCAGAAGGTTCCTGAAAATGCAAAAGCAATAAACCTTCATGCTGAGAGTCTGGGGTCCACCAAGCATGAGTCCAAACCCTGGCTTTGCTACTCAACAATCATGTCATCTAACAAGCTCCAGGGTTTTCATCCGTGCCAGGGGCGAAGTCATGATGCCAGAAGAGGTTGTTGTGGAGATGAAATGAGATGATGCTTTAAAGTTCTTAGGCATGATAATCTGGGGGGAGCAGCCATTGTTGACATCACTTTGAGCTTGTAGGAAACAGACACTCTCACCCCTGAGGTTGCACCAAAGCACCAAAACCAAAGGGTTTGGAAAGGATGAAACAGGAGAAGGAAGGAGTGGGCATAAAACCAAGAAGAAAAGGAAAGAGGTTCTTTGACAGGTGCAAAGCACTGTGCATCCCTCCTAGCAGGTGAGGAACTAATACATGTGATTGTGGTTTCAACTTGAACCCATCAGAATACAGCTGAGCCATCCTAGGAAGATTTCCTTACATTGTAATTACAGACACACACACACACACACACACACACACACAATTTTCACCCAGGTAAAGACAGGAGAAGAGCATATACACAATACTTCAGTCCAACATCACTCGGATGGGTGCTAGGGCCGAGCGCTGAACACAGATACCCAGAGCCTCAGGAAGCTGCAGGGTCCCAGAGGAGGCAAAGAGGGCCTTTCTCAGCCTGGCAGGAGGCACCCGGGCTAGGGCAAGTCTCTATCCACAACCTTGCAGTGAGGGCTGGTCACCCTGGAAGCCCTGAGGCTGCTCCTGCACTTGGAGAGCAGGAGTTTCCACTATTGTGTACTATTAATCAGAAACAAATGTCCTTCGTTAATTTGGAAATGTTGCTGACACCAAACACCCCAGAGAGAGAGAGAGAACCAGTAAACGCAGCCATTTGGTTTCAGAACCGCCTTCTAGGGCTGTACTCAAACCAGACTGGAATTGAATCCAGGGAGAAAGGAGGAGGTGTGATCAGTTAGCCTCCCCCTGACCTTTGCCCCTCCTCTCCGACTCAGGAGTAGTCTGAAGAAGAAATGCTGGGGATTTCAGGTGTGCCGGGAGCCTCGCGCAGGTGAAAGCAAGCAGAAACCCAGCGGACACTCCCCCCCTCTCCAGGGACGTGGGCGCTTTCCAGGATGGCCCTCCGGCTCCTGCGCCCTAGTGCATCCCAGCGCCCTAACGCAACCCCGGGCGGAGGAAGCGCCCTCCTCCTCCGACTGCAGGAAAGACCTTCCTTCCCAGGAGGAGATGCCAGCTGAGGGATCTGGGACTCCCAGGTCCACCCCAGGCTCCTGGCTTAGCTGCCAGGCGATTTCCCCAGCCTCCCAGTGAAGCCCAGTCTGAAGGATCCCCGCTTTTGTTCACCCGGAGAGCGCGGCGCGGCGCTGCGCATCCCCCTGCGCTGAAAGCCCGGCTGCGGGGGGTGCCTCCCGGGGGGCGCGTCCCTGGGTCAGCTGCTGGCACGCCACCGGTTCCAGCGACCCCGGGCTCCAGCTCTCGGATCCCCAGCACCCCTGCCCTATTACTCACTTCTCCCCAGTCCCTCCGCTTTCCATGCTGTCTCCTCCACCGCCCCATAGCGCCTCAGAGGCTTCTCAGCTTCCAGATGGGTGGATAAAGATTGCTTTAACTCCATCGCGGATCCCCGCGGGCAGGTCGACGGGTCCCCCTTTACTCCATCCCCGCCGCGGGTTGCAGGGAGGGAGGCGGCTCCAGCCAGCAGCGTTTTAAGGGGCCGGGCGCTCGTGACGCGGCTCCATCTCTTCCGCCGCCAGCGCCCGGGAGCGCCCGACTGGTACCCAGGAGGGGGGAGGGATGCAGAGCACATGCGCAATGGAGGTTGAGGGGGAAAGCTTGGGGGCAGGGTAGGGAGAAAGAGGGGCAGATGATAAACTCTAAGAAGAGCCACAAAAAATAAAACCAACCCCAAAGAAGTAAGAACGAGGCTCCTGGTCATTCTGGAGAGGGTGGTGTTGCTCTGCATGGGTCTGGCACTGTGGGTGGTACGCGATCTGTCAGTGGGATGCTAGGTTTTGAGTGGGATTGGTGAGCCCGTCTCTATCTGTGGGCGATGGATCCATCTTTGTAGGGAGTGTGGACAAGCGTGAGTGTGGACCCAGATCTGTGGGTTCTGTGGGTTTTCGGGGAAAATCTCTGGGTTTTTGCATCCGTGTGCATACTTTGAACATGAGATGGGACATGGATGCTTGTGTTGACTCCTCATTCCTGTGTCTGTATTTGCATGGACTTGAAAGAGAAATAGATGGAAACATTTTTGGACACAGGACAAGGAAGTTGTTTGGAATCGGGGTCTTTACCTGCCAGACACCCGCAGGTGGGTTTACTGACAAAACATGGCAGCGTCGAAAATATAAAGTAAGGGGCTGGGGCTGTGGTTCAGTGGCAGAGCGCTTGCCTAGCATGTGCGAGGCATTGGGTTCAATTCTCAGCACCACATACAAATAAATGAATAAAATAAAGGTCCATCAACATCTAAAATAAATCCAGTCAAAGCTGGATTGATAGAAATCGGTACTGTTTGCTGAATGGCACCTGGGTGCAAAGCACTTCCCATAACTGTGAAAGAGACAGCATTCTGCCAGCCTTGTTTTGCATAGGGGGGAACTTGAGATGCACAGAGTTTATTTGACCAAATTCCCACAATTACTGAGTGGCATCATCAGTCCATGAATCTGGATTATTTGAATCCAGATTTAACCTCTTCATCATTAAACTGACTTCCTAGACTGCAGTTAGGATGTTTTGTATCAGGACATGGGTAGGACATGGGTTGCTGGTCTATGTTGTCATTTAGACATGTCATCTGGGACAAATTTTGGTATCCATATGGCTTGTGGAAGTGTGAAATGACCCAGTTCTTTAAGAAAATGACTTAGCTACTTAAAATGTTATTATCGATAATGAACTTCTAAATCGCTCAAGGGAGAAAAAAGAAAATAACATAGAAAATCATAAAATATTTAGATCTGGATAACAATGAGAGTATCATATGCCAAAATTTATAAGTTTTTTTTGTCTAGGAATGGGGTCTTGCTATTTTTGCCCAGGCTGGCTTGGGACTTCTGGGCTCCTGTCTTGGCCTCCTGAGTAGCTGGGACTACAGGTGCAAGGAGATCATGGTGTCCAACTTCAAAACTTATAAATGTTGATGTAAATAAATAGACAGCTTTAAATGCTGCTATAGCTTGGATCTGGAATGTTCCACAAAGGCCCTTGTGTTAAAGGTGTGGAGTGCCCAGCTTGGTGCTATTAGAAGGTGGTGGAAACTAGGAGGCTGGCCTAGTGGGAACATGCTCTTGAAGGGGACAGTAGGACCCCAACTCCTTTCTCTTCCTCTATTTTTGAGTCCCAGGCATGAAATGAGAAGCTTTGCTCTATCACATACCTCTCGACATGATGCACTGCCTGGTCACAGGCCCCAAGCAATGAGGTCAACCAATCGAAGACTGGAACCTCTGAAACCCTGACCCAGAAATAAACCTTTTCTCTTGATTCACTTCTTGTCTCTGACATTTTGTTACAGACAGAGGCTTATGACTAAACAACGCATTCCTTAAAAAAAAAAAAGGTGAGACTAAAATGGTTTTAAAAATGTAAAACTAAAATGGGTTAAGTTTTCAACTCAAAGACCTCATTTAAAAAGAACAAATGAAACCTAAGTAAGAAAAAGTGATGAGAAGAGAATAAATTAAGGAAATAGAAAACCAAGAAGCAATGAAGAAAATCAACAAGATCAAAAGCTGATTTCTTCCGTTGAAAACCCTCCCAAGACTGACTTTAAAATAGATACTTGTAGCCGGGCGCCATGGTACATGCCTGTAATCCCAGCAGCTCAGGAGACAGAGGCAAGAGGATCCCAAGTTCAAAGCCAGCCCCATGAGTCATTAAGCAACTCAGTGAGATCCTGAAAATTCTAAAATAGGGCTGGGGGTGTGGCTCAGTGGTCGAGTGCCCCTGGGTTCAATCCCTGCTATCAAAAAAAAAAAAAAAAAATTGATACTCATGAGTAGTATTGAGAATGGAAGCTGAGTGCAGTGGCCCACTCCTATATTCCCAGCTACTTGGGGGCTGAGGCTGGAGGATCATGAGTTCAAGTCCAACCTAGGCAACATGGAGAGACCCTGTGTCAAACGTAAATTAACAAAATGAGACAAAATACAGGACACAGCAAGATGTTCAAAACTCACTCAATTGACATGAGTAACATTCTCCTTTTTAAAAAAAAAAAACTACCAAAATATATTTAAGAAATAAAACGAAAATCAATAACCATTACCAAAACTGAATTACTATCGAAGTTTATTTCCCTCCCTAGTCCTACAAAAGCAACAGACCCAAATAGACCCAGGTCCTTATTTTATAAAAATCACTTTAGAGCTCATTCCAGGAGGATAATATGATCTTAATACCAAACTAGATTAAAATAAAAACACATCAGGACTGGGAATATAGCTCAATGGTAGAGTGCTTGCTTCATCTGTGTAAGGCAATGGGTGCAATTCCTAGTGCTGAGAAACACACACACACACACACACACACACACACAAATGGGATTGGTTCTCAAACTGGAATATGGCCCAAGGTCAGAAAATCTATAGATATTACATTTTCATAAATATGGATAAAGTTGTTTGGTTATTTCAATGAATACAGAAAAGGTTTTTTAAGAAATTAGCAGTCATATGTCTATATTTTTTGTTAGCAAAATAAGAAAAGGAGTACATTTCCTCAACTTTCCAGAGAAAAACTATAAAATACAGCAAATATTACCTTTAGAGCTGAACTTCCAGTAGCATCCCCATTAAAGTTGGGGACGAAACAATATGCCTGCTATTCCCATTTCTGGGCCTCATTAGAAAAGAAAAAATAAATGAGGAATAAGAATTGAAACGTGAAACAAAACTTTCTTTTCCAGACAGTCTATTTTCCTACAGAAAAATGCAAGCAAATCCACAGAGAGGCTGATAAAAATGAATAAGAGCAAAGTTTCGGAAACAAGATGAACATAAAAAATAGTAGGATTTCCCTACATTATTTTTTTAAATATATTTATTTTTTTTAGTTGTAGTTGGACACAATACCCTTATTTATTTATTTATTTATTTTTATGTGGTGCTGAGGATTGAACCCAGAGACTCACACATGCTAGGTGAGCGCTCTACCACTGAGCCCCAGCCCCAGCCCTCTACAACGTTATTAATTGAACTAAAAATATAATCATAATAGCAAAATAAAACATTTAGAAGAAAATCATTACTTTGTGTCACTGGGACTATTGATTAAGTCGTTTTATGTTGCACTGTTAAGTAACAATTAAAAAAAATAACTGAAACAAGAAATGGGGGCTGGGGGTGCAGCTCAGAGGTAGAACCTGTACTTCCCATACCCAGGATCCTGGGTTCGATTCCTAGCACTGAAAAAAAAAAAGAAAAGAAAAAAAAAACCCTTAAGAAATGGAAAGATTTATTTGTCATGTGCAAGGGTAAAAAGAATCAATATGGTAAAGATGAAGATTCTCTTGGATGCAATTCAATTAAAATAGGAAAGAACAGGAGTTGAAATAAACTTTGATGAACTGATCCTAAAATCACATGAACGAACCAAAGACCCAGGCACAGGCAAGAGACATGGAAGAAACGGACAAGGTAGAGTGTGGGAATCCCATTTTCATTGCTGTGACCCAAGTATCTGACAAGAACAGCCTAAAGGAGGAGAGTTTATTTGGGGCTCACGGTTTCAGAGGCTCTGTCCATGGTGGGCAGAGTTCATTGCTCTGGGCCCGAGGTGGGGCAGAACATCATGGTGGAAGGGTTGGTGGAAAAGCCTTGCTCCATTCAGAGCAGCCAGGAAGCAGAGGGCAAAGGGAAGGGGCTGCAGGAAAGATGGATCCTTCCAGGGCCGCCCTCTCCCAGCCACACCCTACCTGCCAAAGTCACCACCTTTTGTGTTCACTCCAAGGTGGATGGACTGATTAGGTTACAGCTGTCACAACCCAATCCATCCATTCTGATTAGTCCTGCATTAACAGGAACCTTTCAGGGACACCTTGTCTCCAAACCACAATATAAGGTGAACTTAAAGCCCAGACATCAAGACCCACTAGAAAGCCGTAAGACATAGGTTGAGGCTGGGGACGTAGCTCAGTTGGTAGAGTGCTTGCCTTGCACGCACAAGGCCCTGGGTTCAATCCCCAGCATCATCAAAAAAAAAAAAAAAAAAAGGACATAAGATGAAAATTGAAAGCCCCAAAATAGACCCATGCATATCTCTCTTTCTCTCTGGTCCTCCCCACCCTCCCTCCCACACACAGACACACACTCATACACACATAAATTCCAGGTGGATTAAAGACCTAAGTGAGAAAAGCACTATTGAAAAATGTTTGCAAAATAATATAGGAAAATGCCTTCATCCTTCTGCAGTGAAGGATATGTTAAAAAACACACAAAAAAACACCTATCCTGGGGCTGGGGGCGCGGCTCAAACCCAGCACTGAAAAAAATAATTAAATAAACAAAGAGAAAAACCCACAAGCCTTAAAGAAAAATACTATATTAATGTGACACTACATTATTTTTTATTGAAATTCATGTAACATTTAAATCAACTATTTTAGCTGGGTGCGCTGGCACACACCTGTAATCCCAGTAGCTCAGGAGGCTGAGGCAGGAGGATCGTGAGTTCAAAGCCAGCCTCAGCAAAAGCAAGGAGCTAAGCAGCTCAGTGAGATCCTGTGTCTAAATAAAATGAAAATAAAAAATGGGGCTGGGGATGTGGCTCAGCGGATGTCCCCTGAGT